GGGATTGAGCTGAGCTCTGCCTGTGCCAGGGATTGAGCTGAGCTCTGCCTGTGCCAGGCCCAGGTTTCAGATCCACGTTCTGCTCACTGTATGAGTTCCTGATGGCAGATGGGATCCCTGGGAGCAGGATCGGGGCCAAGCCGTGTGATCCCTGCCCACTGTGGGCAATTCCAGCCTCAGCAATTCCCAAATAACACATCTTTACACATCTCCCTTCAGGTGGGCACGGCTCCATCCTGCTCCCCAGCCCTGCTGTTCTGCACCAAGGGACAAAACCTGACTGCTGGGAGTCTGATCTCACCTGGGGAAGAGCAGGAAAAATGTGTTTTTTACTGTTAAAAGAAGTCAGCAAAGTTACCAGTGGTGCTGAGGTGTAAACACAGCAGAATTGACTCCAGAATCCAGCGGGGCTCTCATCAGGAATGCACTCAGTGTCAGAGCCAGCCCAGCCTGGCAATCCTGCCTGCTCCTCACCTCTGACAAGGACGAGAGCCTGCGCTGCTGATTTGCAGCCAAAATACAGAAATCTCTTCAATAAATAGATCCCGTGTCTAAAATAAGGAATGAGCAGGACTGGCAGATCACAGCTTGTCTGGAAGAGCCTGTCAGCCCCAAACACGACTCTGCAAAATTCACCCTTAACAAAAGCAGTTTAATCATTTTGCTTGTTGCGGGAGAAGGAATGCCAGAGCCCGACAGGCGTTTTGGGGATAAACACTTCTCTTTTAATATTTAAGCACACTCTGCTGCTTAATGCCTGCAAACAGCAGACCCCGGCCGCCCCACACGCTCCCAACAACATTCCTCCGAGAAAACCTTATTAATGAGCTCACAAACGAGCACCCAACTGGGAAATGTCACAAACAAGAGTGGCTAATGCCCCAGAAAATCAAATAACGGAACACTCGGCTGATTGTGGTGCTTTTCATATTCACTAAAAGAAAAAAAAATAGCTTTAAATCAAAGTTTCTAAAGGGGTCAACACCTCGCTGAACAAAACAACTCATTTATTCGCTTTTAGCCATCTCCAGATGATAAATTACATTGATGTTAATCACTTCACTGCAAACTATGCAATTAATATTTGTACTGGATGGAAATGTAAGGATTACTGGAGATGCAGCAGCAAACGTATGTGGCCGATTTTTAACATAATTGGGCACAAAAAGTTCTCCTATCGCAACAGCAGAGGCTGCAACACGACTCCATCGGGGCAAACTTTAAAGGTACGTGAGTAGATATTACAAAAATGAATGCACAGTTAATTATAACTTCAGAAAAGCACAAAAAGGCAGCCCAGAGAAAAGGCCAAGTCCAGGCTCTGACACTCACTCCCAGCAGCAGTAATGAGAGCAAAAACGCASCACAAGGGCTCAGCTCGCACGGCTCCCAGAATATCTGGTTCCACTCAGTTCCCTAATGATATTTTAATGCATTTTGTTGCTTCATTTCCTTTCTAAAATTACACCCGATGCGCTGGTGTCCCATCGCTCACTGACGGAGCTGAGTCACAAAAAGAGAGGGACTGCAGCACAACGGGGACATTTCCCCTCTGTGCCATGAACTGGGGACATTTCCACTCTGTGCCATGAACTGGGGACATTTCCACTCTGTGCCATGGACTGGGGACATTTCCAGTCTGTGCCATGGACTGGGGACATTTCCAGTCTGTGCCATGAACTGGGGACATTTCCACTCTGTGCCATGAACTGTGGGACATTTCCACTCTGTGCCAGGAACTGTGGTGGCAGCAGAACTGGGGACATTTCCACTCCAGTGTTAGGGGAGGGTTTCACACACATTACTCTGCTCGTTTGCAGAGATTTCTCTCCACTAACACACCCTTCAGCCACACAAACCATTCACCTCAAACTTCACCACGCTGTGCCAGGGCAGATATGCAACAAACAGCTTCATCCATAAATAGGGCAARTTAATACCCAGCATTGCTGTTTTTTGCTTTTTTCCTTGGAAAACAAATCCTACAACTTTTGAGTTGCATCTCAGAAAAAATATCTCCTTACTCTGAAATTTAGTCAGACAAAAAATACCTCATTATCCAAGCAGGCTCCATCCATCATCCTCCTGTCCTTCCCCAACACATTTCATGCTCCACTTGGATACATTAAATGCAGAGAAATACGACATCTGCTGAGAAAAACATTTTCTTGTGCCCTGCTGATGTTGTGAAGGGGCGGATCCGCTGTGCCCATGAGGGGAGGGGGAAGGATTTGTGGGGAGAGGATGTCAGAGCAGAGAGTGGAACATACAGCCCAGGTAACTGAACTGCTGAAAGGAGACAGCAGAGACAGAGTGAGGGTCTGTCTGCAGGGTAACAGGGGACAGGGACAGGGAGAGCAGCTGGGGATGTGTCCCCTGCTCAACCTGAACATTCCATATCTAAAAATCACTGAGGATGTCAGCCAGGCCTGGCTGCAGGAGCCCCAGCTCACCATGGCTGAGCTCCGGGAGCACTGATGGAGATCCCTGATGTGAGCAAAAACAAGAGAATCTTCCTCCTGCCCCTGCTCTCCCATGGATAACAAATCATCCTCTTAGACAGGAGAAGCTCAGGGTAGGAGTTTGCTCTGGAACTGCCTTTTCAGGTGTGACATGCAGGTGTCCTGCTCCATCCTCCCCCTGGAGCCACAAGGTCAAACCCAGGACAGTTCTTGGGCCAGGGCTCCTCTCTGCCCACCCACAAACAGTCCAGATTAACGGGGTCAAATCCCCACATTGGAATGTAATTACTTTGAACAAGCTCAGAGTTTAACCAGAACATGAAACCAAACCAGTCTGAACTCCCTTCTTCTGCTCATCCCGTTCCTCCCTGTGCCTCATCCCCACAAACAGCTCAAGGGATGTTAAAATCAGAAATCAGAGCAGAAATCTGTGCAAGGGATGCATCAGTGCAGGAGCTGAACAAAGAACTGTGCTTTAGGGGTGCTTTGTCCTCACTGCACGGGCACCCCCTAAGGCTGCACACCAAAGGTGTGATTTATTTGAGGAAGAAGAGTAGAAAATGTTAACTTTTTTCCATGAAAGGATGGCACTCTCCTATTCCACCAAATCACCAGAATTCCAGAGAGATTTCTRAAAGGAAGCCTCAAGGTTATCAGGAGCCCTTTCAACCCAGGGAGCTCCAATCCCCTCTCACAACAGGGCAGATGGGATTTYTGCTCTTCCCCGTTAAGTATTTGATCAAGCCTCACAAAGGTGCTAATGCATTATTAAAGCTAATGGAGCTCTACAAGAAATGTTAATGGACATTAAGTTTGCATAAATGAATTACACATTAGCACAGTCGCAAGAAATCTCGTATCTGTCAATTCAGGCAGTATCTGATCATTCCTGTTTTCCTCATTACAGGAACATTACTTCCCACCAGTTTCGGAGATACGAGAATTGTAACCAAGATGTTCATAATGAAACTACATAATGAAGCAGATGAAATAAATTAATATGAAACTTCCTCTTCTCCTTTCACTGTGATGTAGTTGAAGGGAGCCTACAAAACAAGGACCTTCAATCATCTCAGACCCTGCTTTTCCAAGCCCTTGCTGTGGGGCCCATCCCATTTTGCTTTTGGGAGCTGTTGCAGAGCAGAGGGATGAATGTACACAGCTCCAAAGTTTCCAGGTGCATTTGGGAGCACAGATATTTCCAGATACCTGCTTGCCACTGCCATGTGCAGTGCAGCAGCTCCTGGGGGAAGTGAGATGCATTATTAACAATGAACATGTTAGGAGCAGGACACGTTGGCCTCAATTGCTGCTGCTACTACAAATTCCACAGAATTCCAGTCACTCTGATGTACCAAACCAGCCCACAGTGCACAACACCTGGTTTCTCWTGCACAGTACCCAGTTTTTGCCAGTAAACTCGCCATGGTGGCCAGTTGCTTTGAAGTGAGAGCAGAGAAGCACATTTCAAAGAGATAAGCAGGTTGCTRGAAGAAAAATACTCAGATTTAATCTGTTCTGACAATTAAAAGGCCSAGCCAGAAASCTTTGATGRAAATTCTGTGTACAGAGAGTTATTYCATCAGAGAACAGAGGTGTCTGTGGCATCAGGGAGGGCTGGGAAAGTGGCAGCTTCACCCATGAAGTGGTTCCTTACATTGTGAACGTGATTTTGACATCTCAGCACACAATCCTCATCGATGTTAGAATTTTTAGAATGGTTCCTGGACTCATGAACAAACGGTTTGATATGTTAGGAGAAGGAAAGTGCTGCTACTCACACATGACTTCCAGGTAGCGCTGTGTCTGCAGGTCCTTGACCGCAGGGTGATCCACCAGGCAGATGACAGGRACCCCATCGTCCTCCCTGGCCACCTTCAGCTGCAGCTGGCTGGTCACTGTGTACATGTCAGACCACTGCTCCACCTCCACCTTGCCTGGACACAGCAGAGAGAGCAGAGTGACCATGGGATGGGGCAGCCAGGCCACTCCTCCTGTCCACACCCATCCTCCCCTCCAATTCCGCTCAATTCAAGTGATGTCACCACAATGATCAACAATCCCCTCAACACCAAATCCCCAAACTCTACAATCAATGAGCCACAAATCCCCTCCCACTCCTGAATCAACAAYTAGCTACAAAAGTGATTAAACAGATTAAATGAATTAAAAGCAGTATTGATAGTGGGAGCATTCAGCACTCTCTGTTGGAGGGAGGGAGCCCGGCCCTGGACTGAGGGATGCTGTGATGGAAAGGAGCAGGAACACCASACAAAACCAGACAAAACAGGAGAAAAAGGAATTTTCCAGGAACTCAGCAAGTGCCTGCTGACAGCGCAGCTCCACTCTGATCTGTGCCTTTTTATTGAAGAATTCACAGGCAAAATACTACGAGTGATTGGGTAGCAGAGCTCCTCCAGACACCAAATATTGCCATACAATATATGAGAATGAAACAGGTGACACKCACAGACACCCCCTGATATTTGGAGGAAAAGCTTTCCCATGGGCAAAATGTGATTCACACACTCACAGCCAAGTGTTTCAGGCTCTGCTAGAAAAAAATCTGAGCAGGGTGAGCTGGTATTGCACAAAGCTCAGCACTCTGCCCAGAGAACACAAAGCTGGGATTTGATGCTAACACCAGAAAACTCAATCAAGCAGCTGGCAGGTCAGGCAGAAAGGGACAGGAACCCCATCCTGCTGCCCACTGGGATGGGGAAGGGAACAGAATGGGATCATTAACTCCTGCACAGCACAGCACTGGGACTCAGCAGGGCACAGCTCTGCATCCCCCCTGTACCTGCATCCTCCCTGCAGGTGCCCTGCTCAGATSCTCTCAATGTTGGGCTTAAAGAGAGGATTTATCCTGTCCTTGCAGGGGGTGGGTTTGAAATAATGAGTGTGGACTTTGTGAGAGTCTGTCAGTGTCTCAGATGGGGAGAGCACAAAGGTGTTGTCAACCACGCTCACATCTACACTCAGACTAAACTAACAGTGTGTCACATGCAATCAGATCAGGGACTGCAATGTGCARCCAGACTTCGGGGAGTGGGAGAAACCCATCCTGGATGAATATTCAACTGARCACAGGGAAAATGCTCCACAAACAAGAAAGCTGGACGGGAAGGGGAATTGTAAATCCTTACAGCCCAAAGAGCAGACCATCCCTCTGGCACCTGAGACAGGCAGAAACTTCACAAACCACACAGAAATGAATTCAGTGCACAGCTCTGGGCTCTCAAGGTCACCTCAGTTACAGCAGGGCTCAGGCAGGCACAGGACCAAATGGAGTTCAGCCCCCTGYGTTAGGGAATAATCTGTCTGCCCACACACAGCTTTGTTCCTCAGCTGGCGCTCAAAGAAACTCCTTCTACTTTTTTTCCTTTTTTCCCCTTAAACTGGCAGCAGAGAACAAACACCCAGCATTACATAAATCACTCGRGCTCCCTGAACAAAGCAAGGGACTGAGAGGACACCTCTGGCAGTGAGCTCCTTGTTGCCTTTGAACCATCTGATGGTGGTGGCAGGTCTGCTGGCCATGGCAGTGCAGTTCAGCTCGATCTCCTCGCCCTCCACTGCAGTTTCTTTCTGGATATCAATCACCAAATTGCGTGGTGGGACTGCAATGGGAAACACAACACAAAAAACAACTTTTGATCACTAGCACAAGGCAAAACCTTGAGGAAAACCTGTAAAAACCTGTAAAATTTACTGAAGGGAACCAGCAACCAGCATTTATTTGATCTTTCAATCAATCAAACCCTTTGATAGGTGGTTCTGCAGTAATTGGAGTGAGCACTTTCACTCTCCACCTAATAATCACCGCAGTCTCACAAATTATTACTTCTCAGGGCTGTAACTTTCTGTTCCCTCTCGCAGGCAGGCACAGATCCAGGAGAACCASAGCCTCCTGCCCTGCTCGGGTGTGTGCAGCTATTTAAAAATCCAGCTTGACTCCGTGCACATTTGCTGACTTCTCTGACAAGGAGAGGAAACACAAAAGCTGACACTTGGCACTGCATTACTTACCAAGCCTCTAACCTCCACGGCAATTTTTCTCTCCTGCTGTTCAGCTCCAAGGCTCAGCCGTGAGTGTGGAACCAGGCCAGCAAACATCAACCTCATTTGAGACGCTCAAAAAGCCACGGAACACAAGGCTGGAGCAGAATGCCATCCCTTGGGAACTGCTCTGCCTCCCATCACACCCCAAAACCACCCCAAAACCACTCCAGAGAGAGGGGGGAGCTGGCTCTGCACCCCACATCCTTTGGGGGCAGATCTGCTGCTCTGCCCCAGGCACATCTTCCCTAGAYTGGGATCTCCAAAACACAAAACTGGGAGAATGCACCCAATGAAAAATCATCCAGTAAACAGAGAAACAGGCTGTAACTTCAGAGGGGACAACCATGGCAGCACAGCCCAGAAATGGGACAAATGAGCTTAAAAATAAAGGCACAAGGACAAGGGAATCTCTTCCCCATTAAAGCACCAGCAGCAAGGCAAAATCCTGGAAAAAGTGAACAGCGAGAGTTCCTATGGCAGAGTCACAGCTTCAGAAAATCCCAGAACTTCCAAAGGAAACTCAACTTTGCTCTGATCAATGTGATTAAGCAACTGCACAGTTCAGATGTGACTCACAGGTCTTGGAGCTAATGAAGAACAAATATGTATAAATACCATSCAGATGATCAAATGGACTAATTAGTCACTTGTGGCTTCTCTCTAAAAAGAACAGAACGGGCTACATAYTTGAGACTTTCACATGTTCCAATTAAGCATGAATAAATCTACATATCGTGTCACAGAAGACATGAAAGTGCTGAAGCAAATGTGCAGCTCCCTCCTGACTGTGTCTGCAAAGGGAGGCACCTCCACAGCTCCCTGTGCTCTGCTGAGCTGCTGCAGGAGAAGCTGACCACCAAAATCAGTCTTTGATACTGATTTTGATACTGATTAACTTCAGATCTATCAAAGGCCCTGAGATTTTTGGTGGGGAAAAAGTTCTTGGGAGCAGCAGCCAATGCTGAGCCACTGCTCCACCCCTGATTACAGAGACAATAATAGCAAAGACAGGGAAGACAAGCTATCCCTGGTGTCCCCAGTGCACAATCTCTCCATAAAGTGCCAAGAAAAACTGCCCCCTGCTTCATCTTCTATTAATAAATAAACCTCCCTCACCCCTGYCTGCCTCCTGAGTGAGGTTTGACCCCAGTGACAAGAAATCACCTCTGTTATGGATGTGGGGAAAGGGAGCACACACACTGGCCGTGCCACAAACAAAAAACAACTGAAGTACAAGACAAGAAAACAGCCTTTTCCCTCAATTCTGAAGCACGATTCATGTTTTAAAAAAAAACCCAACAAAAACCTGCATTATGTCTCCCACATGAAAGACATGCGGTGCTGGCTTACAGGTGAATGAAAATGAGTATTCTGATTTCAAACACCTTCTCAGCGCTGCCAGCAGTGAAATTAAATCCAACCAACTGTTTTTGCCTGTGCACGATTAGAGGCAGGAGCTGGAAGAGCTTCCCGTGCCTGGGAGTGCTGGAAAGTGCACAGAAACTTTGAAGGTGTTGATAACTGCAATAGCTGGAGTAAAACTGCTTATAAACATTACTTAACAAGGTATAAAAACCTAAGACCCAAATCTCATTAAGCAAAAGAAGGAAGATTTAAGCTAATCAGAGAGWGAGATCTTACATTAAGTCACCCTCCCTGATTCAGGCTCTCCCATTAAGGGAGCCTTAAAAGCTGCTGCT